AGAGAAACTACTGAAAGTATTTTCTCCAATCCATTTTCCAACACAATTTTCAACATTTTGAGAGAGAGAGAGAGAGAAAGAGAGCAAAGATTGATCAAAGTTTCCCCAATTGTCTGTGGGTTTCACTGCTTTACTACCTCCTCTGCTAAGACATAAGAAGCTTCACTAACCTGCGGTTCAATTATTACAATGACTCTGCTGAATCCAGCTTCATCTTTTTGAAAGCATTTCAGTGGCGTTAAAACAAGTTTTGTTCCCTATCCTCGTGTTGACAATGAACATTTTGCAAATTTTGCTTCAATTTTGATGGTTTCATAGAATCATTTGACAAAGCTTTGCTACAAATAACACACTAAGGCATTTCTTCTCCACTGATGACGATGGACGTGAATCCACACTGAATATATGAATCGAACCGTAGTTTTTGACGCTCATGATCGGCTCCAAAATCATTGAATAAAAAGTAAGAAAAGTTGAAATGTAATTATAGAAAGAATATTTCCACATATAAAGTGTAATTATTTCTGTTTTAAATATACTCTGACTTACAGTAAAGTGTGATGTTCTGTAAATTATGTACAATCTGTAAAATTGTAGTTCGTAAACAAATCAACACCGAAACAGTTTGAGTCTGTCGTCACTCTGAAATCCTAAAATTCGCTTCTGGGTGGAATTTGTGATTAAGAGCCCCTGCTTTATTGGAAGGACTTATGATCGCCTCATTATTAATTTAGAAAAGAAGACGTCCAATCTCGTGCCAATCTGTGACCCCTCTGAAACGATAACGTCTACGGGTTAGACTGAACGACAGGCTAGGTATCACTGAACTGGCAATACTTGAAACTGGAAATAAACTAATGTAAATCTCTGTGTCATTTGGATCCTGAACCAGAGAAGTCGGCTACCAATCTGTTATTCTGGTGTGTACATGATTTATCTATCCTTAATAACAAACGACAGAAATTACTGTCATTCATAAGGCCTAAGAAATTTAATTAATATAAATGTACTGAATTGATTTTAAAAAAAGGCCTAACTGATTCTTAACTGTATAAATTAATTTCGCTGAATGGCCAATTAGTGGACGCTTTCCAAATCTGGATGCAGCGTCGTCTCAGTATAAACACCTAGATGAGAATTAGTCAGTTCTGTAAGAACTCAATGCAGCTGCACAGGGCTGAAACAGCGACTCTGCTGCAATCAAACATTTACCAGCAGCGGAGTTCCGGTACGTGCTGCTAAAAGTAACTTCTTAACATCCAGTGGTATATTTTAGTTCGTTACGTGGGGAGCCGCAGAGAATCATTTACCCAACTGTCGTTGATATCACTTGATCGACGCAACATTGGCCTTTAGGTCAAGGCGAATGACTGAACAGGAATACTCACCTCTGATCTCCAGCGAAAGTCGAGAAGTGTTACTTCTGCCTTCACTACGGCGTAGGCCAACCGATTGTCTGAGAAATGCATGCACCAAGCAAGTCAGGCGTAACCGGTTGACTCATAGCAGACATTTTTCCCAATATAATGGTCGCAGAACATTTTACTGATTCACCCAACGGACCCTGTCGACAATGAGCGCCTGATAATGACTGCATTAGTTGTCGCTGGAATCATCACCCAAGATCAACGGTGTCAGTGGTCGAACATTGTTGCATTGACTGACAGCATTTTGTTTGATTAAAACAGCGTCGGTACTGTAAAAGCGTATTTGCTATTATAAACACTCTAATAAAGATTTTGTAAAATGGATAGAAACGTGAGAAGATTTCAAATACCCAAATGAAAGCGGTGAATCTGACCCGAGTTAAAACACCGTGTTTTCTTCAGAGGCAAATACCCCAATGTTCACATTAAGCGCTGGATCACAAGTCCCTAACCGTTTCGTTAGAAGGTTCGAATGTCAGGAAATTTAAAGTTCTGTACAAACTGTTGATTCTCTTAAGCAAAGAATTTAGACCGCTATGTTTCGATGTATCCAGTTGAGAAACGTGTTTCAGCTCGATGCTCGCGGCCCTCTGGTGCTGCCTTACCAGAGTCTCCTTATCGTACGGCCGAACGCCGCTATCTGATGCATGAATTTGATGGCTGCAATGCGCATGAACTCACTGAAAGCCATTTTAATCAATATGAGATGCAACCAGCAGAACAGCGATGGCCACTAGTTTGATACTTATCGAACTGACCTTCAACTATAGTTACCTAATTCAGCTTCTGTCTCTTCGCAAAGTGAACAACGACGACATCAGTGGCATAAACAAATGAATGAAACAGCAACGGTGAAGAGACGGCATTCATCATGCAAACATCACGGATACTGACAACTAACGAGCTCCGTGCCATGCTAACCAACGCCTTACCCTATTTTCAAAGCGGCGCTTTTCAGCGGCTCTTCATGAGGTATGAGAAGTTCGCGATCCTCCGCGATCAGCGATGATGGTTCAGGGGCCTACCATGAACAGCACACTTAATTTTTTGTCATAATATTTAAAAACCGAAACCGAGTTAACAACGTTCAAACTTTT